GTATCTGGTACTACCTGTAGTATCTGGTGGTATCTGTAGTATCTGGTACTACCTGTAGTATCTGGTGGTATCTGGTACTACATGTAGTATCTGGTGGTATCTGTAGTATCTGGTACTACCTGTAGTATCTGGTACTACCTGTAGTATCTGTAGGTATCTGGTACTACCTGTAGTATCTGGTGGTATCTGTAGTATCTGTAGGTATCTGGTACTACCTGTAGTATCTGGTGGTATCTGGTACTACCTGTAGTATCTGGTGGTATCTGGTACTACCTGTAGTATCTGGTACTACCTGTAGTATCTGTAGGTATCTGGTACTACCTGTAGTATCTGGTGGTATCTGGTACTACCTGTAGTATCTGGTGGTATCTGGTACTACCTGTAGTATCTGGTGGTATCTGTAGTATCTGGTACTACCTGTAGTATCTGGTGGTATCTGTAGTATCTGGTACTACCTGATGATGACTCCTTTGTGCATGTAGATGTTGATGAAGTGTGAGCCAGTGCAGCCGTTGGACTCCCAGTAGGTTTTGGGGTTCTTGTCGGTCAGCTTGTTCGCTCGATGGTGATTGGAGGAGACCTCCACCTTCTCCCAGCATTTGTCCTCCTTCAGCTCCACACTGGAGCCTGAACACACCACCAGTTAAACCAGTGACACCAGTGACACCAGTTATGAGGCGTTATCTTTAATCATGTTATTAAATGTATACAGACCTTGGCAGAGATTCCTGAGGAACACGTCAAAGAAGGGGATGTTGATTGGCTGATGGCTACGACGATGCTCCTCAATCTGACCCAACACCATCTGACAGGAAACAGGAAGTAGACCAGGTCAGATATCTAATGACAGGAAGTCAGACTGTAAACACCTCCAAATGACGGACCTGCGTCCACATGATGGAGAGAGTGGACGCTGCCTTCTATAGATGAAGCAACATGCCCAGCGTTCTTTTTCAGAGCGCCCTGGCTCTTTTCTGAGGTCGCTCAGAGCACTTCTTTATTAAAATCTCTGAACTCCTCAGAGCAGCGCTCATGATGTCACTGTTGCTCCTTGCTACTGTACGAAATGTCAGTCAGGAACCACCACGACGAATATAGCAAGTCTCATTGTTTGAGGGAAGATCGGCTGGCGGAGGTTGCTGCTAAGTGTTGTGCTTTGATCACCACACTGTTGTAAGCTGACAAGGTCACAGTGACGACAACATAATGCCTCTAGCCACAGCTATCACCGACACGGAGGCAGAAAAATATGTTTTGTAAGGTCACAGTGACCTTTGACCCTTGACGACCAAATTCTAATTAGTTTAGTCTTCAGACTAAGTGGTTGTTTGTGTCAAATTTAAAGAAATTCCTTCACGGCATTCCTAAGATATCACGTTCACAAGAATGAAACAGATGAGGTCAAAAAGACCTTTGACCACCAAATTCTAATCAGTTTATTCTTGAGCCCAAGTGGACGTTTGCATCAAATTTTAGGAAATGCCCTCAAGCTGTTCTTGAGATATCGTGTTCACAAGAATGAGACAGGTAAGGTCATGGCTAACTTGATCTATGACCACTGAAATCTAGTCAGTTCATCACTGAGCTCAAGTGAATGTTTGTGCCAAAATTTGAAGAAATTCCCTTGAGGTGTTCTTGATATCGTGATCACAAGGATGGGACAGATGGATAGAAGGACGGACATAATGCCTCCAGCCAGTTATCACCAGCTGGGAGGCATAAAAACAAGTTTTGTGAGGTCACAGTGACCTCGACCTCTGATCCACGATCACCAAAAAGTTATCAGTTCATTGTTGAGTCCAAGGGGACATTTGTGCCAAATTTGAGGAAACTCCCTCAAGCTGTTCTTATAATATTGTGTTCACAAGAATGTGATGGATGCAAGGTCACAGTGACCTTTGACTTTGACCTCCAAATTCTAATCAGTTTAATCTTCTGTTCAAGTGCAAGTTTGTTCGAAATTTGAGGAAACTCCCTCAAGCCCTTTTTGTGGTGACACATTAATGAGAATGAGTGGGATGCTAGGTCACAGTGACCTTTGACCTTTGGCGGCTATCCACAGTGCGGAGGGGAAAAAAAGAGGACCCTTCTTCTTCTATGATCTTTACACGTTCAGTAAACCGAATAATGTTTTTTAAATTGAGTCGCTGTGGTGTTGTCAGGAAGCCGTTTCCAGGCAGACTTGCTGCAGCAGTGGCGGCGTTGTGAAGAGTTAACGGTGTGTCCTGCATACCTGGATACATCCTGCGAGGACACTTGTGGTCATCTTCTTGTAGAGGCTGGCGTACTTCTCACAGTCAGTGATGAGGTCACGCAGCTCGGTGACCAGCAGCAGGTTGGTGCTGTGTTTGTCCAGAGCTTTCACCAGAGCCTCTTTGGTCCCCAGGCGACACATCACCACCGCGTAGTCTTTGTTCAGGGACGCCAGGCGGTACAGGAAGCGGATGAACAGCTGGACCACCTAAATGACGAATCACAGCAGGTCAAACGTTTGCATACAGAAAGTGTGTGTGTGTGTGCGCGCATGTGTGTACGTGCTGTGTACCGACCTCTCTGTCGTTGATGAAGGCCGTCATGGAGGACAGGCAGGGCTCGATGCTCTCGTGCCATGGCAGCATGTCCTCCTGGTAGTTATCCAGGAACTTGTTCAGGATCCTGCAGAGACAAACAGCCAATCAGACAAGCGGCTTCATCATCATCATCATCATCATCACCATGACACTGTGGGGGGTCAGTACCTGAGGATGGAGAGCTGGACGGCCCGGTCTGCT